AATGGTAATGGAATGGCACTTTAATTATTTTGTTTTGTATTCTTTGCACTTTCAATGTTTTATAGCTCATTAACATTAACTTTATAACCTTATATATAGTTTTAATACTTAGCTGTAGAATGAAATGTTATAGCTGACGTAAAAAATGTTGAAATAGTAATGTGGTCTGGACACTTATTAAGATTTAATCTTTAATACTGCCAGCCAGATCTATGGTATAGCACACTTGGTGAACTAGAACGAGTTTACACCTAGCAATGGTGAATTCGGTAAAAATTTCAAAAGCTTTATGAACTGCTCAATATCGTAGGACTGCTATTCCAAAGGTTTCGATTCCCGCTCAAGTCAAATATTTGTGTGCATGAACATTTAATGTTTGATTTGGTCTGGGTGTTACTATGTATAATAAGTATGTATTTACAAAAAAAAGTATACATGTATTTACATCAGTTGTCTAGTACCCTTTTTTTTTTTTTTTTTTTTTTCCGTGCGGAAATCCCCTCGGATACCACCTGTCGGTGGCATGTCGGACACGAACCGACTAAAACCGCACGCCTTCGCCGGGTACTAATAGCCGGGGAACCAGGTATACCCTAGAAAGGAAGGCCCTGGTGCCCCGACATACCTCGGGTCATCTACAGACGAGTAGACGACCCCCGCCCCGTGTGGGAACCCCATGTTCCCTGTGCTCCCTGGAAGCGAGCGCGCTTCGCAACGCGCTCGCCGCCACCCCGGCCTGCTTCTGCTAGGGTGACAGATGGCCTCACCTGTCACCCCCAGGCCTGCGCTTATGGAGGACGGAGGTCGTTCTGCGACCTCCGGCGCCTGAGTGACCTGCGCTGCCTGGCCCGTGCCCGGGCCTGGCGGGCCGGGAGAGTTCTAAACCTCTCCCGGTCCCGCTCCGCCGTCTCCTTCGCGAGCATAACTTGCTCGCAGAAGGAGACGGCAGAGTTCCACGCACTCTCGCTCCGCACGATAGCTGCAATCAGGCTATCGAGCGAGAGAACTCCCACTCCGATGGCCGCCACGAGGTCTCGCCTCTGCTCAACCCACGCCGGGCACTCTGCCAGCGTGTGGAGAGCCGTGTCCACGGTCTGGCCATCGCAGTGGTGGCACTCAGGCGTTGGCTCCTTGCGGATCAGACACAGGTGATCTCCGAAACATCCCTTCCCAGTGATCACCTGCGTCAATCGGTATGAGAGGGTCCCGTGACGCCTCTCGAGCCAATCCTCCATAACGGGTCTTACCGCCGCAATGACGGCGTGCCCAGCGCTCGGTTGCCCGAGTCGTTCCCTCCACTCCCCTATGATGACCTGGCGGAGTTGGGATTTCCGGTCATCGATTTCTCGAATCTCGAGTTGTCTAGTACCCATAGTACAAGCTCTGCTTAGTTTGGGACTAGATGGCGTTGTGTGAATGTGTTACAATGTTATTATTATTATTCACATATTATAGTCACTGTGCTGTTACTTACGATAAATGTCATCATCAAAGATTAAATTTATATTTGAATGTATATTAAAAACACCACAGAATTTGAATATCTCAATGTGAATACGATAAGAACACACTCACTCTTGCGCATCTATGCAATTACAAATATTTTGACTTCATACTTCATACAGACGTTTATGCACATCATCATCAACAGCCATATAATAGTCCACTGCTAGACATAGGCCTCTCCTTAGGAAGGAAGTTTTGGTCTACTATACCACGCTGTGCAAACAGTTAGTATTGGGTTGGTTTCAAGTTTTTCTTCTCTTTGCAGTGCTGTTATTCTGCTTAGCTCTATTCGTCGGCTCTTACATGGGATAAATATAGGGGCGGTGACAATCCGTATTCTTAATCCGTCACCACACGGAAAGCCTATATTGCTAATAGTAAATCTTACAAATTTTACGTACTAATAATAATCAAAACTAGCACACCGATCGACATCACAAAACATCGTAGTATCAGATTTTAAGGTAAGGGTATTGAAATTATCCATTCAGTGTCCAGTCCCATTCAATGCATTCAGTTATCAAATATAAGATGGTATTCAGTAAAATTTAGTCCATACTTTTAGAAAATATCAATAATATCGAAGAAGTACTGAACCAGTCAGCCTGTGACCACGGCCAGTACAATGTGGTCGAAATGTCAGGTAATTCCCGTAAACATAATTTTATACTTTTTGAAACAAAAACTGTAAATACCTATTTAAGTAGTTTAAACGTTATAATAATAATAATAGTTTCGGACATCTATCTATCTATCAAACTAAATAGAGCTTGTACTCTACTCACTCGCTCTGTACGCTCTTTACTCACTTACAAGTATTCTATCAGTCAATCTAGCTTTCAAGCTAGATTGACTGATAGAATACTTGTAAGTGAGTTGCAATAACCTAGGCTGTGCTCCTTAACAATACTTATATACTTTTTTTGTAAATACATACATATTATGCATAGAAAATAAACTTAAAAAAATATTATATTTTTATTTATGCTTATACTTTATAATAATGCATCTTTATGCTGATAAATAGGGTTGCCAGAGTATTAATGGATAAGTTTGGCACCATATGGGTGACACATATTATTCTAATTGTCACGCAAGCTATTTGCTTATTTTTTACCCTAACTGAGAAACAAATAACTCTTTCTATAAACAATAAGTTCTACCCACTTTTATATCGTAATATGTACACATAAAACTTTTGATCCACAGACAAACACCCATATCATAACTGCCCATTGATAAATTTGGGTGACAATGTGTATAATATATGATTGTAAAATGTGAAAAAGAAACATTTTTATGATTGTATCAAACAACTACCATTTTCTGTATCCTCTAGACAGATCTGTTTCCTGTACCAAGAGTTTTTCCAGTTTATTTCTGCTATGCATATCGTCGTCTTCCTTATACGATTGTTGACAGTATTTGATGACTTCAGTAACAAAAATCGATGAAACATAATGTCACCTTGAATCATAAATATTTAAACTTGGAATATACTAATAAAACGTTCGCTTGTTCGCTTTTTTTTGTAGACTTTATTTTGCTAGGTTTGTTTCTTAAACATTAATTTATTACCCTATTTATAATAATTTATTTATATATGTGATTGATTCACAAAATAGAACTGTAATAACAATAAATGAAATGAAGTTAAATTGAAATTATAATCTAATTTTCTAAATGAAGTATTTAGTAATCAACATTAAACTTTAAAGAAACAATTTAAAAATGTACTTGTCACATTATAATCACAGTCCTTTACTACGACGAATTAAACGAACGAATTAAATTACGAACGAACTAATTAAATTATAATAAATTTTATTATAATTAACTCACGAACGTGAAGACGCACGCACACGTTATTTTTTCTCATTGCTGTAGCAGTGAATACAATGGTGAAGACGACAATGCTTCCAATCACGTTCGGCCAGAAAACTAACTCGTTTAACTCTCTGGGCGACTATGTAATTTTGGCTTTTTTTGGCTTTTTTTTTCAATTTGATTTGAGACTTTAATTATTATTAGTGTTACCAACTGTCATTCGTAATTATATGAATACAATGACTTATACACGAAACAGACAATTTATTAATTTTAAACTATATGCACTTTTGCACATTGGCGGACTTAATGCCCAGGGATTTTTTTGATTCAACCGCAAAAGCACAGAGGTTACATATTATTATGTTACCAATTAAAATATACAAAGTTCACTACATACATAAACTTATACATGCACATATACACACATACAATACACACAATTTACTAATGGTATTAGAAAAATCACAATAATTCACAACTAAAAACTAAGATTTATCCTTTTTCGCACTTCTTAACTCGTCGTATTGGGGAACTAGAATGAGTTGACACCTAGTCATGGTGAATTCGGTAAAAAGTTTCAAAAGCTTTATGAACTTCCCATTAATCTCATGATATGCTGATTGACTCGACACTTCTAAAACATCGTGGAACATTCTGAAATATTTTAACTTTTTGTGGGTCATTTAATTAGTTTCTTAATTCGACAGCTTGGGGTGACCGTAACATTAGAATAAGATTTTTTATGTTCAAAAGCATTTAAGGTGTTGATAAGAAAAAAGAAATACTTTTTTTTGTCACCTTCAGATAATTTTTTCTAGCTGATTGAGTCAAGGAAACTTTTTCTTGCCACAGTGAATAACCTACGTTGATGTTTCTGAAATACTTTAAATATTCGCCCGTCGTTACTACTGTCATTCATTTAGTCTATGTATGTTTCAGCCATAATTTAATTAAAAGTTTACCTATTACAAGTAGCAATGCTCATGTTTATGCAAAATCGTATGCCCGACCCTACGGCATAACTCTGCAAATTTAATAAGAGACCAGTAGCCAGTTACGACTAGATAGAATAAGTTTACAATTACACAAAGTTGTTTTTATTGTTGTGTAAGTTTTGGTTCATTAAAATGCTCAGCATAAGTTAGAGGTAAATTTCAAAACTAATAAATATCAACGTCACTGAATAATGAGGTCCTTAGTTAGCCGGTGTTTAAATTAAAGTAGGACTCCCTTGCGGAACTGAAATAGGGCACAACAATATTCTAAGTACATCATAAGTTAAAAGTAAACTCTAAGACTATTTAGGTTGTAGTTTTCATAAAATCAGAACGGTCTTAGGATCTATTTTTTCAATTCTATATATTTTAGTATATACACTCAGTTTACTTCTAAAGAAAATATTTCTACTCACTGAAGTACGCGAGAAGTTGATTTTTCTGACATAATAAACAAAAAAATGTTATATAGTTTGGCTGTTGATTAATCTATATATATAAAAGAAAGTCCTGTTAGTTACACTATTTATAACTCAAGAACGGCTTTACCGATATGGCTGAAAATTGGTGGGGAGGTAGCTTAGAGCCAGGAGACGGACATAGGATACTATTTATTCCGTTCGACAGTTTTTTTTTTTTGTTTTTTTACGAACTTTGCTTTACTCGGAGATGCCACGTTATTATACTTGGAATGCTTCATCGAAGAATTTTCAAAGACGGAAGCAAGGCGATGCAGTTCCTGTGTATCCGGATGTGCGTTCCACTGATGCTCTTGGTCGTATGTATACAGTTCATCCAAAGAATGATGAATGTTTCTATTTGCGGTTGTTGCTGATAAATGTGCGTGGGCCAACGTCATTTGAGACACTACGGACTGTTAATGGTGTAATATTCCCAACATATCGTGCTGCATGTGAGGAACTGTACTTATTAGAAAACGATACCCATTGGGATACGACATTCGCTGAAGCCATTATCTCTGCATCTCCAAGTCAGATACGCACATTATTCGCTATCAAAATTTAGACATGCTTTCCATCAAACCCATGTAACCTGTGGCACAAATATAAGGATAATATGTCAGAAGATATTTTACATTAAATTCGTATCACTTCCAGAAATCACGATGTTAAGATGAATGAGGAGATACATAATCGTGCTTTACTCTTGATCGAAGATATGTGTTACCTCATGTGCGGTAGTTTATTAATCAGGTTAGGAACGCCAGCGCCCAATCGTGAAATGAATTGGAACGGGAACGTTAATATGATCACCAGGAATTAGATTTAGTAGTTCAAACGAATGTACCCCTGTGTAATTCCCAACAAAGGGAAGTTTATGATACTTTAATGAAGGCAATCGATGATGGAAATGGTGGTTTATATTTCCTAGATGCCCCTGGTGGAACAGGTAAGACATTCCTCATGTCAGTAGTTTTAGCCACTGTTCGTGCGAGATCCAACATAGCGGTTGCAGTTGCTTCTTCTGGAATAGCAGCCACATTGTTAGAAGGATGCCGTACGGCTCATTCAGCATTAAAATTACCGTTAAATCTTCAAACTATTGAAGAACCAACGTGTAATATTAAGAAAAATTCAGCAATGGCCAAAGTTTTATCGGCATCGAAAATCATCATCTGGGACGAATGCACAATGGCGCATAAACGTGCATTAGAAGCACTTAACCGAACATTGAAAGATTTACGGAATGACTCGAGATGTTTTGGAGGAGCAATGATTTTACTGTCTGGCGATTTCCGCCAAACACTGCCAGTAATTCCAAGATCTACGGCTGCCGACGAAATAAACGCTTGCCTCAAATCGTCGAATCTAAGGCGCTATGTGAAGAAACTGCGGCTGACAACAAACATGAGAGTTGCATTGCTTAATGATACATCTGCTCAAGATTTCTCTGAGCAATTGCTGACTATCGGTAATGGTCAAGTACCTGTCGATGAATCGAGCGGATTGATATCATTTCCAAATAATTTCTGTAATTTTGTCTCATCAAAAGACGAACTTATCAACAATGTATTTAAAGACATTATTTCTAACTACAAAAATAATGAATGGTTGAGTGAGCGAGCAATTTTAGCGGCTAAGAATAAAGATGTAGACGACCTGAACTATATAATTCAAAATAAGATCATTGAAACAATGCATTCATTCAAATCTATTGACTGCGTCACAAATGAAGATGAAGCCACCACCTATCCAATTGAATTTTTAAACTCCCTTGATGTGCCTGGCTTACTACCGCACAATTTACGCCTAAAGGTTGGCTCCGTAGTAATCATGCTTCGAAACATAAACCAACCAAAACTGTGCAACGGTACGCGTTTGGTGGTTAGAAAAATTGATGAACAATGTAATTTACGCGACGATACTGAAAGGAAAATTCAAAGGTGAGAAAGTTCTCATTCCGAGAATCCCGATGATCCCAACCGATTTGCCGTTTGAATTTAAAAGACTTCAATTTCCAATCCGTCTTGCATTTTATATGACCATCAACAAATCACAAGGCCAATCCTTAAAAGTTTGTGGTTTGAATCTAGAACATCCATGTTTTTCCCATGGTCAATTATATGTGGCATGTTCACGGGTACTGAAATGCAGAAACAATAATAAATGATTAATGTACTTCATTTTTTTTCTATTAAATTCGAAAATCGGCTTATTTATTGCCTTTAAGGCGGAACAGAGTTCGCCGGGTCAGCTAGTTTATTATAAATTTCGCTAACATGTTCGAATATAATTTTCATAGTTTTAGCTTCCTTAAATTTAATTGACAACCGCATATTGCCATTGTGTTTGCCATTGTATTTCATAAAATATCCTCTTAGAGATATTTTTTGTTTGTAAATCATTAGCACTATTAAAATATTTATTTCGCCGTTATAAGTACGGCACTGAGTCGCGTTTTAGCAGCGCTCAGCCACTTCAGTTTCTCGGCAGGTAAACACCAAAAGCCGTAAACGTCTCCACAAATAAATGTAAAATTGTTTTCTTTATTTGCTGTTGTAATATTTTAAGGTAATATGTTGCTACTTGAAACTCTTGAAAATCGTAGATCATAAATAGGAATTTAAAGATTTTGAATTTATTTCATTTTAATGAAGATATTTATGTTGTGTTTAGATTTTATAGTACTTCTTCCGTGTGGTAACGGATTAAGAATACAGAGGGTCACCACCCCTATTTATCCCATGGGTGTCGTAAGAGTCGACTTAGGGAACAAACTACGCAGAACAACAGCACTGCAAAGTGAAGGAAAACTTGACACAAACCCTATACCAGACCGTCTGGCCAGCGTGGCATAGTAGGCCAAAACCTTCTTTCTAAGGAGAGGCCTATGTCCAACAGTGGACTACTAAAGGCTGATGATGATGAATCTTGAGTGGCGGCGGTAGTCACTTACCATCAGGTGACTCGTCTTCTCGTTTGTCTCCTATATCATAAATAAACATAACTATATATGATTTATGTGTTTGCTGAAGACTGCTCTAGTTCGTTAATTTATTTTCTTGTTTCGAAAGATATTTTAGTAATACTAATAATATAATCGACGTTAACACAAGTTAATAATACTTTCACAACTTCAGAAGGATTCTGAGAAAAGTACACGTATAATATAGTCTAGTTTCCACAACACATATATGAAATCATAACTGCTTCAGGGCATCTACTGGCTTCTACATCTTTGATAAATGCACTTAGATATTTTTATGAAAAAACAAACCGACATTAAACCTTTGAATTAACATTCAGAAGCTCTACAGCAGCGCCATATACATATATCATACAAATCTGACTATCCGGTACTGGAGTGCAAGAAATACAAAATAAACTGCTCCACAAACACCAATGTTTAATGGTTGGGGACGGCATTAAAATTTTGTTTCTTATGATGACAAAAATCTTTTCTTTGCATTTGTTTAAACAGGAGATAAATGATTTATTATAGCTTGAAGCTTATTGTTACGCTTAAACAGATTTTATTGTTACGCTTTTGTCTTATTGTATTTTAATTATATTGTTTACTAGCTGACCCGGCAAACGTTGCCTTGCCTAAAAAAAAAATTTAGGGATGGGTCACCCTTACCATTTAGGGGTATGAAAAATAAATGTTGGCCGATTCTCAGACCTACCCGATGTGCACACAAAATTTCATGAGAATCGGTCAAGCCGGTTCGGAGGAGTACGGGAACGAACATTGTGACCGGAGAATTTTATATATAAGACTAGCTGACCCGGCGAACTCTGTTCCGCCTTAAAGGCAATAAATAAGCCGATTTTCGAATTTAATAGAAAAAAAATGAAGTACATTAATCATTTATTATTGTTTCTGCATTTCAGTACCCGTGAACATGCCACATATAATTGACCATGGGAAAAACATGGATGTTCTAGATTCAAACCACAAACTTTTAAGGATTGGCCTTGTGATTTGTTGATGGTCATATAAAATGCAAGACGGATTGGAAATTGAAGTCTTTTAAATTCAAACGGCAAATCGGTTGGGATCATCGGGATTCTCGGAATGAGAACTTTCTCACCTTTGAATTTTCCTTTCAGTATCGTCGCGTAAATTACATTGTTCATCAATTTTTCTAACCACCAAACGCGTACCGTTGCACAGTTTTGGTTGGTTTATGTTTCGAAGCATGATTACTACGGAGCCAACCTTTAGGCGTAAATTGTGCGGTAGTAAGCCAGGCACATCAAGGGAGTTTAAAAATTCAATTGGATAGGTGGTGGCTTCATCTTCATTTGTGACGCAGTCAATAGATTTGAATGAATGCATTGTTTCAATGATCTTATTTTGAATTATATAGTTCAGGTCGTCTACATCTTTATTCTTAGCCGCTAAAATTGCTCGCTCACTCAACCATTCATTATTTTTGTAGTTAGAAATAATGTCTTTAAATACATTGTTGATAAGTTCGTCTTTTGATGAGACAAAATTACAGAAATTATTTGGAAATGATATCAATCCGCTCGATTCATCGACAGGTACTTGACCATTACCGATAGTCAGCAATTGCTCAGAGAAATCTTGAGCAGATGTATCATTAAGCAATGCAACTCTCATGTTTGTTGTCAGCCGCAGTTTCTTCACATAGCGCCTTAGATTCGACGATTTGAGGCAAGCGTTTATTTCGTCGGCAGCCGTAGATCTTGGAATTACTGGCAGTGTTTGGCGGAAATCGCCAGACAGTAAAATCATTGCTCCTCCAAAACATCTCGAGTCATTCCGTAAATCTTTCAATGTTCGGTTAAGTGCTTCTAATGCACGTTTATGCGCCATTGTGCATTCGTCCCAGATGATGATTTTCGATGCCGATAAAACTTTGGCCATTGCTGAATTTTTCTTAATATTACACGTTGGTTCTTCAATAGTTTGAAGATTTAACGGTAATTTTAATGCTGAATGAGCCGTACGGCATCCTTCTAACAATGTGGCTGCTATTCCAGAAGAAGCAACTGCAACCGCTATGTTGGATCTCGCACGAACAGTGGCTAAAACTACTGACATGAGGAATGTCTTACCTGTTCCACCAGGGGCATCTAGGAAATATAAACCACCATTTCCATCATCGATTGCCTTCATTAAAGTATCATAAACTTCCCTTTGTTGGGAATTACACAGGGGTACATTCGTTTGAACTACTAAATCTAATTCCTGGTGATCATATTAACGTTCCCGTTCCAATTCATTTCACGATTGGGCGCTGGCGTTCCTAACCTGATTAATAAACTACCGCACATGAGGTAACACATATCTTCGATCAAGAGTAAAGCACGATTATGTATCTCCTCATTCATCTCAACATCGTGATTTCTGGAAGTGATACGAATTTAATGTAAAATATCTTCTGACATATTATCCTTATATTTGTGCCACAGGTTACATGGGTTTGATGGAAAGCATGTCTAAATTTTGATAGCGAATAATGTGCGTATCTGACTTGGAGATGCAGAGATAATGGCTTCAGCGAATGTCGTATCCCAATGGGTATCGTTTTC